CTCTCTCTCTGTATTTGACTGAAGAAGACTACTGTGTAGACGAAACGTTTCATTAATAAAAATACCGAAGTGCTGCACATGTCTTAATCTTCAACTTGTACGTATTTTATGTTATTTTCAACAATGTCTCTTACTTGCTTCCTGGTTAACTGATTTAGTGTTATATGCTTCTAGTGTTCATCCTTAGTATGTTGCATGTTTCTTGTGTTGATCTTGAGTATGTTGCATGTTTCTTGTGTTGATCTTGAGTATGTTGCATGCTCCTTGTGCTCATAAATGTTTTTGCATGCTTAAGTTAATTCGTGTTTCTTGTGTTGATAATAAGTGTTGCTTGATTGTTTATTTTAAGTGGGTGCATCTTATATTGACCTAGTATTGCATGTCCAAATGATTTAAGTTTTTTTTTTTTTTTGTTCTCCATGTGTTACCTGGAGTATACCTGGAGAGGGTTCGGGGACCAGCTGCCAGGCTGATCAGATACTGACTTTACGTGCCTTTCCAGTGCCTTCTTGAAGACTGCCAGAGGTCTATTGGTAATCCCCCTTATATATGCTGGGAGGCAGTTTAACAGTCTTGGGCCCCTGACACCTATTGTGTTGTCTCTTAGTGTACACGTGGCGCCCCTGCTTATCATTGGCTGGATGTTGCATCTCCTGCCAAGTCTTTTGTTTTTGTAGGGAGTAATTTTCGTGTGCAGATTTGGTATTAATCCCTCTAGGATTTTTCAAGTGTATAAGAACGTAAGAACATAAGAAAGAAGGAACACTGCAACAGGCCTGTTGGCCTATGCGAGGCAGGCCCAATTCTCCTACCGGCTTAAGCTCACTGACCATCTGACCTCACTGACCTAGTGAGGGCAGACACGTCACTTAGAGGAGCACAGCATCCAACCTAGTAGCACAAGCTAGTTAGGTCCAACTCACACGTACCTACACCCACTCATATATTTATCCAACATATTTTTAAAACTACGCAACGTCTTAGCTTCTATGATGGTACTCGAGAGTTTGTTCCACTCATCCACAACTCTATTACCAAACCAGTGCTTTCCTATATCCTTCCTGAATCTGAATTTTTTCAGTTTAAAACCATTGCTGCGAGTCCTGTCTATATTAGATATTTTTAGCACGCTATTTACATCCCTTTTATTAATTCCTGTTTTCCATTTATACACCTCAATCATATCCCCCATAATTCTAAGCAGATTCAGGGCCCTCAGCCTATCCTCATAGGGAAGATTTCTGATACATGGGATCAACTTTGTCATCCTCCTTTGTACGTTTTCCAGTGCATTTTATCCACTATGTAATACGGTGACCAGAACTGTGCAACATAATCTAAATGAGGCCTAACTAAAGATATATAGAGTTGAACAACCTGAGGACTCCTATTATACTTCTTGATATGAAGCCAAGGATTCTATTAGCTTTATTGCGAACACTTATGCACTGTTGTCTTGGTTTTAGATTACTGCTAACCAGAACTTCTAAATCCTTTTCGCAATCCGTAATATTAAGATCTATATTATTTAGTTTACATGTGGCATGGTTATTTTCCTGTCCAACATTTAGAACTTTACATTTGTCTATGTTAAACTGCATCTGCCACTTCTCCGACCACTGCATCAGTCTATTCCAAATCATCCTGGAGTGCTCTAGTGTCCTCATTAGAATGAATTGGATGGCCTATTTTGGTGTCACCAGCAAATTTGCTTATGTCGCTATTTATTCCCATATCTGTGTCGTTTATGAAGATTGTGAACAACAACGTGCCCTGTGGAACACCGCTTGTGACGTGCCCCCATTCTGATTTCTCCCCATTTATGCAAACTCTCTGCTGCCTATTTGTTATCCATGCCTCTTCCTAGGAAAAAAATTCTCCTATTCCGTGTGCGTTAAGTTTCATCGATAGTCTCTGATGTGGAACTCTATCGAAAGCCTTACTGAAGTCATATTCACTACCATGACGTGTCTCCTCAAATACTTTAGTGAAGAAAGTTAGTAAATTCGTAAGACAGGAACGTGTCTTTGTAAAACCGTGCTGAGAGTCATTAATCAATTTATGCCTTTCAAGATGGCTACTGATTGCTTCGGCAATTATTGATTTCATATTTTTTTCCACTATGGAGGTAAGGCTTATTGGTCTATAGTTCGAAGCTAAGGACCTGTCACCTGCCTTGTATTACATTTGCCATTTTCCGCCTGTCTGGCACTATGCCAGTTTGTAGTGATATATTGAAAAGATAAGCCAAAGGTATGCTAAGTTCCTCTTCACATTCCTTTAAAACCCTCGCAAACAGTTCGTCAGGGCCTGGGGATTTGTTAGGTTTTAATTTCTCAATTTGTCTGAGGACCATGTCACTAGTTACCCCAATAGTGCATAGTTTATCGTCCTGTTCTACATAATTTATTATTTCAGGAATATAGCTATTATCTTCCTGAGTGAAAACTGAGAGGAAGTAGGTATTGAGAATTTCACACATATCCTTATCACTGTCAGTGATCTGCCCAGAGTTACTCTTATGTGGGCCTATCTTGTCCCTAATCTTACTTCTGTATACCTGAAAGAACCCTTTTGGTTTAGTCTTCGAATCTCTTGCGACTTTAGCCTCAAATCCCTTTTTGCTTTTCTTATTCCTTTTTTTTATTTCTCTCTTTAATTGAATATATTGATTTCTTAACTGCACCGCCCCTCTTTTGATACGCCTATATATGCCTCTCTTTTGACCAATGAGATGTTTTAATCTATTGTTTATCCATTTGGAATCATTTTTGTTAGATCTAATTTCCCTACTCGGAACAAAAGTCGTCTGGGCAGCCAGCACTATGCTCTGAAATACGTCATATTGGCAACCAACTCTACCTACCTGACACACAGTAAAGTCGTCTCAATTTAGCCCACCCAGGTAATTTCTCATACCCATGAAGTCGGCCAAGCGAGAATCTGGGACAGATTTGATTGCAGTTATCTGGGTAATTCCATGATATATTGAAACTAAGTGATTTGTGATCACTTTCCCCAAGCTCATCATTAATCTCAAGATTATAATTAGTGATTCTTTGTTGGCAAGAACCAAGTCAAGCAGATTGTTTCCTCTAATTGGTTCTGTCACAAACTTTTAAAAAGCTGTCTTGAACCGTATCAAGAAAGTCACTAGACTCAAGATTTCCTGCCACATTGTTCCAATCAATTTGTCTAAAGTTAAAATCTCCCATTAACACAACATTTTCATATCTAGACGCCTTGCGAATTTCTTCCCATAGCACCTACTACACTCCCTATCAAGGTTTGGGGGCCTATAAATCACACCCAAAATTAATTTTTCACGACTTTCGAGAAACTGCAGCCGAACAGATTCTTTGTCCGATGTTTCTAATCTTACATCATGTCTAACACAACAGTTTAAATTATCTCTGACATACATCGCCACTCTACCACCCTTCCTCTTGACCCTATCAGTGTGGAATGTTTATAACCCTATATGTTGCATTCAGAAGGCATTTCTCTGTCTTTCAAGTTGAACCAGGTCTCTGTTATAGCAATAATATCTATATTACCTGCACTTGCAAGTAATCTTAGCTCATCCATCATATTTCTTAGACTCCTACTATTTGTATAGTAAACCTTAAGGGAGCTAGTCTCTCGTTGTCTTCTACTATCTCTCTTTGTTTGTTGATCAGTTGCTTTGCCTTTATTAGGAACTTTATTTTGAATATTGTCTTTTAAACATATACCTTAGGTATCCTGGTAATATCTGCTGTTTCCAACAATAATACTGCAGCCTGATTGTTTCCCACAAACATCCACACCTCTATAATCTATCAGTTTAAAGTCCTAGACAAGTCATTTGTGACTCCCTCAATCGAATTGGCTAATGCAACCACTCCATCCCCAGAGAGATGAACCCCATCCCTTGCATACATATCATGCTTGCCATAGAATTTGTCCCAGTTATCAGTGAATGGGATTGCTGTCTAGCCAGCAATTTATACAAATGGCCTTAGACATACATTCACTGCCCATTCCCCTTCTAGGCAAGATGCTACATATGATTGGGATCCCTCCCTTAGACCTGACAACTTCTATGGCTGACCTGTACTTATCCAGCAGCTCCTATTTCCTGCCCTTCCTTATGTCATTTCCACGAGCACTAAGATAATGGGCTTGTTCCCATTACCTGACATAATATTATCCAAATTGCTGACTATGTCACCAACACCAACTCCTGGGAGGCACACCCTCTGTTTGACTTTTCTCTTTCTGTTATAAAATGCACTCTCCATATATCTTACCTGAAAATCTCCTACAATTAGAATATTCTTACCATGATTAGCAGGAGAGTCAGTGGTATCTTTAACCTCATTAACCACTGCACATTCTCCAGGTCAGCAATTTCGCCAGCCTTGAAAGAGGCAGTGTACATCAGTATTCCAGCCTAGAGAGAACAAGTGCTGCATACTTCTTGTGCTGAATGTCTCTTTTTCCATGCCTCTTATGCTGAGCTCGTCTTGAATGCTTCGTGTGTTAACCTTGTTGTGTTGCCTATCTTGTTTTTGCACCGTATATTCCATGCCATTTGTTGAGCTTGTGTTGCATGTCACGTGTGTTGAGCATGTGTAGCATCTCACGTGTGTTGAGCTTGTGTTGCATGTCACGTGTGTTGAGCTTGTGTTGCATGCAATTTGAGTTGAGCTTGTGTTGCATGTAACGCGTGTTGAGCTTGTGTTTCATGCCATTTGTATTAAGCTTGTGTTTCATGCCACTTGTTTTGCATACCTTGTACTGAGCTTGTGTTGCATGCCACTTGTGACGAGCTTGTGCTGCATGTCACTTGTGTTGAGCTTGTGCTGCATGTCACTTGTGTTGAGCTTGTGCTGCATGTCACTTGTGTTGAGCTTGTGCTGCATGTCATTTGTGTTGAGCTTGTGTTGTACGCATCTTGCTTCCTGGTGGTGGGCGACCAAACTAACGCTTCTCTCCCCCTCTGGTTCTCATTGCAGCACTCTTGACAGGCACTCTGAGGACCTTCCAGCGCCACGCCTGTGACGGCACCAGCCTCTCCCTCCAGTGCCCCGTCAACACCACCATCGACATCACCTTCGCCAGGTACGGCCGCCCACGCCAGGCTGAGGGAGACGAGAAGGGCGTGGGACACGACCCCTGTCCACCCACAGTACCACCCTCCCCACACCAGCAACAACTGACGACAGGATGCGAGTACTCGCACGAAATTAAT